TGCATGTATGCATGCATGCATGAATGCATGCATGCATGCATGGATGTATGTATGTATGTATGTATGTATGTATGTAGGGCTGGAAGACCACCTCGAGACGGTGGATAGCCAACGCCCCAGCACCAAAGGTGCGCTGTGTTTTCTCCGTTCGAGCCATTGTGAAAGCGGTGAAATCGCCTAATTGGCACCGACGTGAACGTCGGCACAGATCCTCCACTCGGAGGCTACAAATTGGGCGGCCAGTGAGCCGCCAGAGGTTGGCCGACTTGGCGAGCCACCACGCAACCGCACCTGCTTTCCGACGTGAAGTCCTGGTTCTCATGGGAAGGAACGGCAAGCAATGGGGGACGAAAGCAGCCAAAGAGGAAGCTTGGAAAGATCATGGAGGAAGCCACGGTGGAGGCCAATATGGTGCTTGGCGCTACTGGCGTGGAATAGACTCCCCACGTGCGCCTTGGCGCAAAGAGCACCAGAAGCCTATGTTCCCGTCCTTCATGCAGATGCCTGCCCAGTCATCTGCCAGCAGAGTCGAGGAGCCGCCTTTGAAGACTGGAGATCTCCAATCGCTCCAGTCTGTGCTAACCAAGGCCCGTCGAGCAGAGCTTCGTGTGAAGAAGCTGGGACAAGAGCGGGACGGCCTCGATCAGAAGTGGGCCAAATTCAACGAGGAGCTCAAGGCCACCTTCGTCAAGGAGAAGAGCAAATACCACAGAGAAATCGAAAGGAACGAGAAGGAAATGGCCATCGCCCTGCAAGGACAAGATGCCGCCAGGCAGATTGTCGTTCAAGTTGCAGTGGGCCAGAAGCCGGAGCCAGCAAACCGTCGTGCAGAGTTGGAGGTCTCTGCAGATTGGGAGGAGATGACAAAGCGATGGGTACGAGACGGAGACGACATGGATGGGGTTTTGCAGAGGGCCCTCGATGGCTCAACTGTCACCCCGACTCGCCCTCGTCTTCGTCGACCTCGCTCACCTGTTCCTGGCGAGCGACCAAGCGGTGGCGAGACCTTTGCTGCCAATACAGCAGTTCCTATGGAAACGGATCAGCCGGCGCCGACTTACAGCCAGGCATCCCCGGTCCTGTTGCGGGACCCCTACTTGGACAGTCCTGGACCTGGGCCTATGTCAGCGGCCCGTGCTGCGGCAGAACCCCCACCGGCTCACGCTGCTCCACCTCCTGGGCTCTCCCACTCAGGTCAAGGGACGGAAAGCCATGGGCCGCTGCCAGAAACACCTCCAAGAGCGCCCCCGACTATGGCTTCGACTCCACCCAAGACGGATGGGCCGGCAATGCCTGGCAACCCCCTGCTGACGGAGATGCTTTCAGCAAAACGAATCGAGCGGAGATCTGCAATGGAGCCCTTTGGGGGCAAGCAAGCCAAGGATGCTTCTTCTGTTGCTCATGCTCGTCCTCCGGACCCTTCGGGTGGCGGCGGACCTTCGGGGAGTTTGATCGACGACGATCACGAAGAGCTGGATCGAGGAATGCCCTCCCCGGGCTTTGGCAACCTCGAGTGAGCCACAAGGCGGTGAAGATGCCATCGGGCTTAGTGCACAGCCTGAGGTTTAGTGATCAGCTGAGGGACCCAATGATTTGGCAGTTACTGGGAACTGCCTTTTCTGAAGCGTCTCCTGGCTTTGATCCTAACCGCGGTGCTGTTCGTACTGAGCATGATCGGCATCTTCTACTAGGGCCAAGTCGGACATGTTGTACAGAAGTGGGATGTACAGCATTACCTGAGCCGGTTGTAAGCTATGTGTCGTTTGCGGCTGCCTGGCATCTTTGGGCTTTTGATGTTGCAGGCATGCCGCTTTGTGGAGATTTCTGGTGTGTCGTACAGTGCACCCCATTTGTCGCGCTCGCTGGTGACCTTCGAGTTGGTCTTGTCCGAGGTCGCTTGCTTGTCTTCTTGTGCCACATTCTTTTGGGCACCCTTTCGGCCCTTTTACTTGCGGGAGCGCACAACATGCGAATCGGTTGCTCTGGGTCGCAGGCCCCGCAAAATTTCTTCCCCTACGAGGCACTTGTATTTGAGGCCTCCCTTCGCACTGCAGTCGGGTTTTTTGTACGCCCAGCCTGTGCCGCGTGCCGTGAATTCCACCACGCCTTTGTTTCTTTAGGGCCCTCTTTGCAGGGTTGCGAATTGTCCTTCGATGAGACCTACGTGTCAGCGAAGTTGCAGGGGTTTGTGTGCCCAAGAGGGAAATCGGTGGCTCTGGGTTCCCCACCAAGCCTTTTGCACTTCGTTTCCTCGTTTTGGCCTTGTTTTGCATTCGTCCTCCTTGCAGGACCTACTGCCTTGACCTCTGTTCCTCCTGAGGATTTTATGTTCTGGATTGAACAGCAGGCTGGATCGCTTTTGGCTTGTACCTGCCTCGTGGGTTGCATCAGCCTGCTTGTCCTGATTGGCAGGTGCCCACCTTTTAAAGCCCTCATGCGAGGTTGCCCTTCAGGAGCGTTGCCGACTGGATCATATCGCATGGCTGCCCTCAGCTTAGGCAAGGTGTCATCAGCTTCTTCTGGCCCCCTCGACGCTCAATGAGAGATGCGAGGAACGGAGGGCACTGCCGCCTGCCGTTTCCTCTTAGGTCGGAGGGCGCTTTACATTGCGGCCTGGCTTTTTGGGTTTCTTACGTTACCGACGCCATGCCATGCGCAGCCCTTCGGCGGCCAATATCTTTCAGCTGCTGTTCTCGCGCCCTTTTTGCACTGCAGCAACGCCGCCAGAACCTCGGCATCCCCCGCGCTCCTCCAGCCACAGGACTTGCCGGTCGAAGAACTTGTTACCTATGTCGGGGACAATGTTGTGCCGTCAGCCCGCAGCTCTCCATCTGAAGCGGCTTCTGATACCGCGTGGCTACTTGCTGACGTCTCCGAGCTCACGTCCCAGGAGGACAGTGCTATCGGTCGGTGGCTCGGCGTGCAAGTCTTCACCCCGCACTATCGCCCGGTAGCTGCGGCTATCCGCTGCCTTCCCTTCCACGTTGTTCAGCATGTGATGGATGTGATCGTTGACCTCGCACCAGGCGGGCCTGCGGATGTCGGCATGCTTTGTGTACCAATCAGGCCGCAATGCAGCGCTAAGTTCGGCAGCTTTTTGCGTTTCCCTGCGTCGGCGCACCACCATCCACAGGGGCGGCGCTCTGCAGTGCTTGTCGACCTCCGCTTGGTTGGCGGCAATCGTTTCGCCTGCTTGCTCCCTGCCCGCTTCCCTACGAACGAGTTGATGGCTTTTGTGGAGGCTTTGATCCCTTTCTCCGAGCAAAGACTGCATGTGTATGTTGGGGATTCCCTGACTCCTTCTATGCAGGCTGTTTTGCAATTGCGTGATGGCGACTTGTTGGTTTTCACAAGAGAGCAGCTACACCGTGACCGGCCTGTTGCCATTGGGGAACTTTTTGCCGATCCCTCCCGCTGGTGCGACCCAGCCAGGTTGTTGCTTCAAGGTGTTAATGCTGGGCTTCTCGTCCATTACAAGCAAGAGCGCTTCTTCCTGCCAGCGCATCATCGCAGCGGACAGGATGCCATCTCTGCTGTGCGTACGGCCTACGACCTTCGAGACTCTGAGTGTGTCTCTTGTGCTTTTCGCACAGATGACCTCGAATTCCGAGGCAATGCTTGCTCTCATGTGGTGGGAGTCTTTCCCCTTCCCAAGGGCCCTTTGGACGCAGCGCCTAATGAAAGAAGACGCGACTACGCGGTCCTGTGTGACTTTCGGCCAGTCGGCTATAGCCCCAGAACAGTCCTGGTACATGTGCCTGTGCTTCATGTGCCCTCCTTGGCGGCTATTTTTGAGATACGCGTACCGTCGGGCATGCGATTGAGATCGCTCACTGGCACACAGACCCATGATGAGGTTCGCTTTTCGGGGCATCAAGTCCTCACCTTCGTTTTTGAGCATTGTCCGATTGCCGAAATCTCAACTGAGCCGTATGCCATGCTTGATGACCTCATCGACGGTTCGCCTCCATACCATGATGTGCCGATTCATTTTATGCGGACCGACCGTCCTAGGACCACACATGTAGGTCGACAGCCTGCCAGGTCCGCGCACAGGTCGAGGTCCAGGCACTCAGGCCCCAGGCAATTCGATGCATTCGAGATGGGCCCTTCCAAGGATGGAAGCCATAGCAGCCTGCGTAGGATAGTTGCTGCGGGAGCAGCGTCAGACGCTGCATTTGCTTCCTCCCTGCTGTCTGTCGAACCTAGGTGGTTAAGCAAAGACTGCAAGTGGAGTTTTGGTTTTCCTCAAGATGCCCATGCCGGTGGCCACCAAGACCTCACCCCTGCAGTCCTTGCCTGTGCGCCTAGTCGGACCATTGAGTGGTGCATGCCGTTTGCTGCACCCCTCTCTAAAGGTGGCCCACCTGATAGGCTTTTCGATGTCTGCAAGCTCTTGACTGAGCCGGAGTCCACGTCTTTGGAGTCGAGAGACAGAGTCGAGGACGCCCGAGACTTTGAGGAAGGTGAAGGCCGCGTTTGGCCTTATATTCCAGCCACGGATCCCTATGCACTTCAGCGCATTGCCGAACGGGAGGAGGACGAGGCGCAGGCACTGGAATCCGAGGAAGCTTCCGATTTCACTATGTGTCTGCTGACGCCGGGCTACGTTTTGGAAGCCGTGGTGATTACCCTTGAGCCGCCTGTTGAGGTGCCAGAGGCCGTGCAGATCACCCAAGATGCACGTGATCAGGTTAAGCGGAGGCTCTTCCCCTCCCTCACTGTTGTAAACCCACAGCCTGTGCAGGGCTTCGGTGTGCTTATCGCCTTGCCCGGTTGGGCCACCCCCGAAACGATCGTCTGTTTTTCGCTCCTCGATATCGATGACAGACTGTTCGCAGCACCTGTCCCGGCGGTCGCATCTCGCGAGCGTTTGCTCGCCATTGCGAAACTGTCCCCTCCTGAGCTTTTTGATGTTTACCTCGAGGGATCACCCACCCCGATGCAGGAGGCCGAGGAGGCAAACATGGCATTGGGAATCTGCATTTTTTGCCTTCACAGACACGTTCTTCCTGGACCATTTTTCCACCTGGCAGAGACGCTCTTGACGGCCACCGTATGGGAAGACAACCCTGCAATACCACATGGACCTGCCGACGGGCATATGTGTTTTGTTGGCGAATTCTCCATGCTGCGACTCCCTCTGACCGAAGACTCGCCTTTGCCAGACAACGATCTAATCGCTGCGGCCTTTGGTGTCCAGCCCGGCAGTATGCTTGTGCAGCCAGCTATGCCCATCACTCGCGATGTCTCCATGGATGGCTTTTATTGCTACAATGTCTGTGCTGTGTACTGCCCATCACCAGACGAAATCGACGGTGATTATTGCATCGTGCTTGTTGATTGTCGAGCGATGCTACAGGGCTGGCAGTTGGTCTTCTGTCCTGATTCCAGGTTGGATCGAGCCCAGCTCCTTGATGATCTTTCCACTTTCGCCCCTGCTGGGTGGGATCTTCACTTAGAAGGCCTACCGACTGCGGATGACCCCTGCGAAGTTGTTTCAGGGCAGATCATCTATGCGTCATATGTGCTTCCCTCGCACCCTTGGCAGGCAGACCCCGCACCAGGAGCTGATCATGCCGATGCCTCGGGCATGACCTCTGACAGCGCCTCGGACCCGGCCTTCAGTCTTTCAGCTGCCTCGGCGGGTTCAGCTGAACACACCGCCGGACACTCCAGGAGCAGACAGCGAGCCCCCCTCGCACGAGCCTGACCGAAGGACCGCGACTGTGCCCTTTGTTTTGCTTGGGCAAGAGACCGCGCCTGAGCTCGTCAACGTTCCCCGCACTTTGAACCTTGCTGTCGGGGGCGTCTTGGAGCAGGTGCAGCTCCTGAGGGATTTTGCAGACCGAGTGCGATTCCCTCGCATCATCCCCGTGCACCCCCAGCCGTCTGGGGCCTTCGCTTTGGCCGTTGTGCAACCCTCGTGGAGCCAGGAAGTGCTTGTTGTGTTTGATTGCCTACGAGTCACCGAAGCCATCTTCTGTTGGGTAGCTTCACCTGCCATGACTCGTGCCGCTATTCTTACTGTGGCGGGTCTGCCAGACACAGCTGACTACGAGGTGTATGCTCCAGACTATGAATTCCCCATGAGCTCGACCGATGTCTGCCGACTTCGATCGGGTTCTTGCGTCTCGATAATCCCCTCTGCCTGCCCCTTGTTCGTCGTTTCCACACTCTCGGACATGCTTCTTTCCGACGAAGGTTGGGATGTTGATGCGACCCTGCCTTGTGTGCCCGGCTCGTGGCTGCATGTGCTCTCCAATACCGGGCCTGTCTCGATTCAGCTTGACGAGGCTGATTCTCGCGCTCTACTCCCGGTTGTCAGTGAAGCCCTAGGCATGCCACCAGAGGACACTTGTCTGCAAGTCGCAACGCCGCCCCTGACTGATTTTGCCGATGAAGGCCGACTAGCTTGGAATGTGGCTGTTGTGACTCGTTCGGCCGACTCGCAGGGAAGCCCCGACGGGTGCGTTTACATTATCGATTTGCGTGCCATCCTATGTGGCTTGACGTGGGCATTCACCCCCGACTGCACTGTTTCGATCGCCACGATAAGAGAGCAGTGCGCGCAACCCGCAGCTGGAGGGCACCAAGTTGTGGTCACCGGCGGACGGCCAATCCAGGGTAGAGAAGATTATGTGTGGGTGTGGCCGGGCGCTGTGCTACAAGTACAGGTCATCCCCTGGCCCACTACCCTCCCCTCGGAGTCACAGCCTTCTTCGATGCGTGTCGACTCTGCTGCACAGGGGAATTTCTCCACAGTTGGTGAGCCCGATGCCGCAATGGATGTACGCGGAGACCAGAGGCCCTCCGATGCTTCCGAACCTTCACGGTCCCCGGATGCCCCTTCGCGGCAGCATACCTTTGGTGCTGTGCTTGCTTGCCTGGCCTTTTCGCTAGGCATAGGGTTATGCGGGCACCACATGTGCTTGGTGCTATGTGCCTTGCATTTGAGCCGTTACCGGTCCCCTTTCTTGTGCACAGTGCTTTTCCTTGCTTCCTTGAGAGGAGGAGATTCTGTCCAGATCGTGGGCGACCCGATGTTCCGGAGACCTCCCGGTGCTTCCCGTGACATCCACCGACCAGGCCCCCACCCGCAGCAACTACACTCTGGCGCTGGGGGGTTTTGCACCGCCCTAGAGGTCGAAGGCCAGGCTGTTCCCCTCCGTCCCCGGCCTATCCCGACTCCCTGCAGAAGTGCTTCACGTCCAACATGTCCAGAGGGACCTGACCCGGTGAAGCGCCCAGTGAATGCTCCGGCTGGCTCGCCCGGCAGCTTCCTTGAGGCGCTTGGTCCTCTCTCCACTCTGCTGGAGAACGCTGCTGCTTCATCTGATGAATGGGCCTTTTTGGCTGCCACCCTTCTTGAGACTCTTGTTGAGTACGACGCCTCCCAGGGGCGAGCTGGCCCGACGACAACGATAAACCCGCACGCGCCCAGCATCGGCCAGCCGCTTGCTCTAGCCAAGATGCTGCCGACAAGTTGCGATGGACGATACCACCGGCACGACCCAACTGCGGGGAAACCTCTTTCTGCGATGCTCGCCCCATTGATTGGCGATATGCATCAGACGTTGAGCGTCGGCAACACATCGCTCAACTTCTCTTGGTATGAGGTGCTTACTTTCTTCGGAGCTATGCCCATACTGGAGCCCTTGGAGCGATTACGTGTTTCATTCCCAGACCCACCCGCACCGCGGTGGGACGCCCTGCACACGTACCTGACTGAGCAATTTCCTGCTTGCCTCCGCACAGCTGACGCTACAGCAATCCGATGCTACACTGATGGCTCCTTCACGCCTGCGTCAGACAACTCGCCCTGCTTGCTTGGCTGGGCGATTCTTTTCTTTTTGCCGGATACCGCTGAGGTTTTGTGTGCTTGGGGCTCTGTGCCAGGGGAGCTCCTTGAACCCCCCCTTCAACCATCGGCTTACATCGCTGAGTGCTACGCGCTGCTAGTCGCGGCTCTCCTATGCATCAACCGCTTTGGCAATGTGTGCGCGCACTTTTTATCCGACTGCCAGTCGGCCCTGACCGTGGTCTCTGGCCACTCGACATGCGCGCTGGGTGGCCTTGCTGAAGCCGCTGCCAATATGCACACCCTGCGCAGAATGTCGGCGGCCACGCAGGATACATACGAGTATGTCCCCGGACACTCGGGAATAGCACCCAATGAAGCCGTTGACTTTCTATCCAAGCGAGGTGCCAGAGCCACTCATGGCACTTGCGGTCTGCAGGTATCACTCGATTCTTTGCTGACCTGGCTTCAGAATGGCGCTCCCCGCACACCTTGGGTTGGAGTTGCAATTCGGTCAGTGTGCGGCGACCCTGCTTTCCCACCCCTCAATAGTCAAAGCTTGGGTGATGACACCTTTCACGGGCATCTTCTGCCGGCTGACTTGATACGTCCTTTTGCTCCCTTGGGCGCGGTTAGTCCACCCGCCGATGGCAACGGAGCCACTCAGCGACCCTCTGATGGCACTTGCCACCAGTGTGTGACTATGCGCCTTACCGTAGCCACCTACAATACTCTCTCCCTTCTGGGGGAGGTTGAAAGAGCAGTTGCCGAGCCTAAGGACCCCCGTTCCAAAAAGAACAATGTAGGCCGTGCTGCGATTCTTGCCGAAACTCTGGCCGAGCATCATGTTCAAATCGCCTTCCTGCAAGAGACTCGTTGTCAGAAAGGCCACTCTCGCTCAGGAGGATATTTGCGATATGCTTCCGGGGCTAGTCGTGGACAGTGGGGCACCGAGATTTGGCTGAAGGCCGATGCACCAATCTTTTGTCATGCTGCAGGAGGGTCTGCCAGGTCTACTATCAGTGCCCAGGCCGTCACTTCTCTGCACACCGACCCCAGGCGCGTCATCCTTCGGCTCTGCATCAAACCAGTCCCGCTGCTCCTGGTTTCTGTGCACGGACCCCATCGTGCTACCGAAGGACCGCTTGTAGAGGCATTCTGGGATGAGACATTGCGGCTATTGCAGCATTTTCACAAAAGCGACTTTTTGATTTTTGGCGGAGATTGCAACGCGGCAATCGGCTCTGTCAAGTCTGACCATTTCGGCGACCATGCTGCGGAGCCGGAGGATGTTGCAGGGGTGGCCTTACACCACATCGCTATGAGCTGGGTTGTGGGTCGGATCCAATCTTACACCTCTCCGGGTATCCACGCGGCACAGGCGCATCAGGACCACATTGCAGCTTGTGCTACGATCCAGCTCACTCTCGGACCTGCCAGCCTCTCAACAACAGGGCGACGCAGGACGATTCGAGCTCAGGCTTTTGCGGAGCCAGCTGTCCGCGAGAGCGTTCGTGCCGCCCTTGAGTCCCTCCCGCCCGTCCCTTGGCAAGTTTCAGTTCACGCGCATGCTGCCATTTTAGCAGATCACTTGCAACAGGGCCTGGGTAACATCTCCCAGGCCCAGGGGCCGCGCCCTAAGCACGCGTATCTGCAAGAGGCATCCTGGGCTTTGCAGCGACGGCTCAGCCGCATACGGCGGGCCTTAAGCCACAGACAGCATCTCTTGCGTCGACATGCACTACTCGCCTGCCTCAAAGTCTGGCGTCAGGCGAATCTGGAATGGGTTCACGAGTTCCTAGAGTGCCCGTGGATACAGCAGCTCCGTGTGCTTATCGCTACTCAAATGCTGCACATGCGCAAAGCCGGTCAGTTGCTGCGAGAGTCCTGTCGCAACGACCGTGCAGCCTATGTCGAGAATCTTGCTGACCAGATCTCAGCTGGTGCCAGCAATGATGTCTTTGCGGCTTATCACAAACTGCTCTTCCACCGGCGGAAGAAGCCATACCAAATTGAGCCTCTGCCTACCATCCTCGATGCTCTGGGGGCACCTTGCCTCGACATGCAAGCCCGCTTTCAACGCTGGCGTGGTCATTTTGGTGCTTTGGAGGCCGGCATTGAGACCTCGTTCCAGGGCCTGGTCGATGCCCTCCCATCCCCGGGGCAAGATACCACGGTTGCGCCGCATCCCCGTGATATCCAGCAGGTGCCTTCCCTTTCCTCTCTCCAACATGTCCTGGCGGCTACGAAGGGCGGTAAGGCGCCTGGCATTGACATGCTGCCGCCGGAATTGAGCAAAGGATTTCCGGCGCATCTAGCACGCCACTTGTTTCCCCTGCTCATGAAACAAGTCTGGCGCGGCACCGAGGCCGTGGGCTTTAAGGGTGGAGCCACTGTCTTTTTTCATAAGAAACGCGGTCCTCAAGACGAATGTGGGTCATACCGAGCGATTCTTCTTATGTCGTCGCTCGCGAAAGCCTGCCACCAGTGCCTGCGGCCTGCTCTCAGAGACGTGTTCACCAGGCACACTTCCTCCTTGCAAATGGGAGGACGGCCGGGCTGCTCCGTCACCTTTGGCTCCCACCTGCTGCGGGCTGTTACCGCGCACTATGCGGCACGGGGTACACCTATTTACACCCTTTTTGCCGACATCGCTTCCGCCTTTTACTGCACCGTCACGCAGCTTGTCGCGGATGCAGACCATGCCGATCCCGAGCAGGTCCTCGAACGTGTGACGAGCACTCTGCATCTTACTAGCGAGGACCGTGCTGCCTTGGCTCAGCATCTTGGAGAGCCTACCACCCTTTCTCAAGCTGATGCTGATCCATGGATTGAGCACATGGCAAGCCGCATTTCTTCTGGCAACTGGTTTGTGCTTCAAGGCGACACGGTGCCGCTCGCCACGGGGCGAGGGTCAAGACCTGGCTCTTCCTGTGCCGATGTCCTGTTTGCGCTTCTTGTGCCGCGAATCTTGGCCACCCGCGACCGTCTTCGCTCCTCGTCCGTCTGCAAGTCGGAACCCCCGGTTCTGCCTTGGGACGGGGCTTTCACCCTGGACAGCTGCGAGGCCGGGGCACCTGATATCACAGTGTCTGATGTCATTTGGGCAGATGACATTGCCGTGCCAAGAATCTGCCGGCATGTCGAGGTTATTCGGTCAGCCATAGCCGTAGACACGGGATGTTTAGCGGACGCATGCGGAGAGTATACTCTCCTTGTCCTTTGGGGAAGTTAAGACGGCCTGTCTCGCTTCGGTCGTGGGCAACGGTTCTCGTGCAGCCAGACGACACCTGTTTGGACCCACGGGTTTGAAGGGTATCATCCATACTCTGAGGGAGGGTGGAGATCCCACACCCCTCTCCCTCGTGGCATCCTATAAGCACCTGGGAGTCTACCAAGCCCCGGCTGGGAGGCTCGGCCCGGAGGTGAAATATAGGATAGGACAGGCGCGTGCGGCCTTCCACGAAGCAAGGCGGAAGGTGTTCAAAAATCGGGCCATCAGCGTCAGTCGCAAAGCTCGCATTTTGGAGGCGACTGTGGTCAGCAAACTCACCCAGGGTGCTGGCTCTTGGCCTGCGATCTCCAAGGCCGACCGGCAGGCATTCGACGCGACGTTGTGGGCGTTTTATAGGGCCATGCTATGCCTGCCGAAGCTAGGGGATCAGACCCTCTCGGGCCTTGCGTGTTGTGCCCTTGTCGGACTCCCAACGCCAGGAGTTGTGCTTCAGCGGGCTCGCATGCAGTACTTGCGACAGCTCGTCTGTTCGGGTCCACCCGAACTTTGGGCGGCCGTCAAGGTTGATGCGAGCTACTGTGAGCTGCTCAAAGAGGACCTCCGTTGGATGCATCGGTGGCTGCACGCAACCACAAGTTTACCACACCCTGACACGCACTGGCATGTTTGGAGCGACTGTATGCGTTCCACTCCGGGCCGGTTCAAAGGATGCCTGAAACGCGTGTGCCAACTCGAGGTATATCGGACCACCTTGATAGCTGCCCTCGACGGCCTGCACCGAGGACTCCGCAACCTCACTGCCGGACCGCCGTGTGTGCCCGTTGCTGCGACCGACTGCTTTACCGACATGTGCATCCCGTGCCGAAAGGCCTTTGTCTCCCGGAAGGCCTGGGCCGGTCATGCGGCTAGGATGCACGGATACCGCAGTCGTGCTTACCTGCTTGGCAACTCCCCTCTTTGTCTTGGCTGCGGCCGTTCTTTCGGCACCATAGGGCGACTCCGACGGCACTTAACCGTAGTCCCAGCTTGCGCAGGTCGGTGGGGCTCCTTCACCCCTGATTGCACCAAGGACGTCCCTGCGCATCCCCTGGCTCCGCCCACGGCCGTCGGTGGTACCCATCAAGCTGTGGTGTCGCCATGGGATCCCACCATCTCGGACGCCTTGCTTGGAGACCTCTGCTTGTCCAGTGAGGGCAGCGAGGACTCCGTTTGGAGTGTTATCGCAGAGCACATAGAGCCCCTCTCCGTCTTGCGGACCACAGTTGAGCACTGGCGTGATTTGTATCCTGACAGTCCTTGGCATGCCGAAGTGGCGGAGAACATGCTGTTGCTCCTCGACCCAAGCATTTCTGCTGAACACTTTCTTGAGGATCGCCGACCCCCTCGCGCTGATCCATATCAAGTTCCCACTTGGGGTCCCCTCACCCCCTTGTGTTTTTCACTCTCCGGTGAGGTCCGCTCCTGGCGTTTGGAGTCTCCTCCGTCAGTGCGTTTTGACCTCTCGCAGCCAACTAGTGTCACGCTTCGCACAGCCCTCGCGCTCTCGACCTGGGCCGAGGATGCTTGTCGTGTCTTGATCGATTGTGCCGCAGCGGCTCCGAGGCACCCTGTTGTCCTTACCTGCCCCGGCATTTGGATCCCCTTGCCGGATCTTCTGCCTTGGTTTCGGGCACTCGGCTTCCTCTGTGACGAGTCCGGCTTTCGGTCACCGGCGTGACGCTTTTTTCGGCTTTTGCCCGTTTCACCCCGAATTCAGTAGCCAGGCGTGCGTCTGTACAAGACCCTCCCGCACCGAAATGAAAAAATGTATGTATGTATGTATGTATGTATGTATGTATGTATGTGTGCATGTGCATG